ACCAGCAGACCAGCATCACTACAGCTGCCTCCACCTCCATCTGCGGCTGCCACCAGGTCAAGATACACCTCAGCACAAAGGCTCCACCACAGCCATCACCTTCAACCCAGCAAGGAGGTGGAGGTCTCGTATAGCACTTGCACCCCCCACCTACACAGCAGCCCATGCACTATCACCCCCATCTTCACAGCAGCCAGACCCACTGTCTTGAAAGACAGACAAAGACCATGACACTGTCTTGACATTTATAATGAATAGTTGGTTGAAAGTTCTGATGTTCAATTTTGTAAATAGTTAGATTTTCCAGTTTCTTATATTTATATAAATAGTTGGTTGAAAAAAACATATTTATAATAAATTGTTGGTTGAAAAAAAAGTTTGCATGTTCAATTTGTATTTGTACACATCACATGAACTTTGGTATGAAATATGAAGTCATTATTCAGTCCTAATGTATCTCAGTCCCTGTTGTGGTGAAAGTAGAGTGATAAACAATCGGATGTCAAATGTTAAGCTTTAGAGCTACTTATCTCATCACACAGTGCTCTAAGGTGAGTAATTTGCATGTATAGCAAGACCAGAGATTGTCCTGAACGTTTTGATATGTAACACATGGGGTGCCATGTATAACAAGTACATTTAAAAGGTGATTTAAGGTGAGACACCCCAGGTGAATAGGGTAATTTTATTAACTTAAAGGTATCAGCTAGAAATTTCTCCAGTTAATTACTTACAATAAGGCAATTGTTTTTTGTATTACAAGTTTTCTGAAATAGCATGTTTAAATATGCAAATTATCCATTATCTCATTAAATATGCACATATTTTAACACATTTCAGGAATCGAAATCTGAACTTTGGATAAAGCCAGGTTCAAAATGCTCGTTTCATTTTGTAGTCATATTAGTATCTAAGGCTTTTACAAAATGGATTTTGGATATCTCTTTTTATCACTCCATAAATCAGAAAATACTGTCAACAGCCCTAAAATATCAATTTTTGCCATGTTTTTAGGAATACAATGTTGTATAATTCAGGCTATGAATGATATATGAACAAACCCTTCTGTAAAAGCCTTCATAATATGGATAGGAATATAACTGGAAGGTTTGGTGTATGTACGTGCTACTGAAGTTGACATTTCGAACTCAGAGTAGGAGAAAAAACTCATTTTGAGAAAAGGACCTTTAAAGATTGCAGTGAGGCGCTAGCTAAACCCTCCTGTTCTTTGGATGACAGCTTGGGCATCGACGCACTCCGTGAAGGTATTTCGTGTTCGGGGTCATTTGTTTTTTGTATAACCTTGCTTCGTGCAAGTGACAATTGTTGTTGTCTTCTCTGTGAACGTTTTTTTTGCCGTTCTTTTGCCATTTTGAGATTTCAATTTCTAGCGGAAAGCTAACCAGGAAGTGTTTTAGCACACCACGTGACGCATCTGAACGCATCACGTTGTCAGAAATTGACACCAGCCAATGAGATTTCGTTTCTTGGTTTAAGACCCCTTTGTGCTTTCACGATTGGTTGCTGATACAAAGGAAATTTTTATGTTACGTTAGAATGCTAACTTTTGGTGAATTTAGGAGAAATCTACAGACGCAAATAGACAAACTATAGTAAAATGAACACTTAAATGTGTATTTTGTACGTTTTCCTTCCAAAAGCCTGAAAGAAAACATGTTATAGAATCAAAATAGCACAAAGTCTCAAAATTGACCAGTACTTGAAAACGATGTTTTTGCCTGCCGTGTCTCGCCTTAAGGAAACATCTAAAATCGAGAAAATACCCTTAGACTCCAGAGGGTTAAAGCATGGAGACATACACATATGAACCTGAAAATGAGCATAATAGGGCCTATTCAAGTACAATGTGTTGATAATACTACTCTACTTTTAATTAAGTAAAGGATCTCAGTACTTCTTCCTTTGCTTTTTTGTATATTAATGGCGCTTTTCCACTGCAGCACGGTTTAAGCTTTTTTTTTGCTTTTCCACTAGAGCTAGTTCCGGCTCAGGGCTACTTTTTCAACTTTTTTCTGGCCCTCCGAAATTGAGGTTCTTACCGGGCCAACAACCGGGCTGAATACTAGTGACGTAAACACTCTCGACTGCTGAATGGTCAGAGAGAATCGCTGGCAAGGGGGCTACAACTACAACAAAATGAACATATTTGACCGTGATTTAATTGTAATATACGTTTCAAAATGATGCCGAAGTAACAACATACTGATACCGGTCTGCAGACAAGACGGCAGGCGGAAAACCTTTTAAAATGCGTGTTTTCTGAATGGAGATCGGCTAAGCTAACGTTGTATATGCTCCGACCGTCCACACTCACAACAACGGCCTACAGACATAAATAAACCAGCAACTGTATTTGCCATGACACAGACAGTCTGTGGTTGGTACTTCTTTAACTTTTGTCTAGTTTCTGAACAGATATGAGGAGCTGTGAGCTCTGAGTGCTAACAGCTACCGGCTGTGTTTTGGTTTTGTGGTTCGCATTGAAGATGCAGTTTTAAGCAGCGTCGCTCCGCCCGCCGAACAGCCGATCGCCCCGCCTACACTGCGTTACTATAGTTACTACCCCAGTTCCAAAACTGTAATGAAACGCAGCATAAAGTGAGCCTGGCCTACCAAGGCCTAACCATACCGTACTAAGCCGTGCGAGGCCCTGCAGTGGAAAAGCGACATTAGACATCCATCAGCCCACTGTTATGTGTGTAAAAAGTGTGTAGAGAGTGTAGCCTTTTCACTCAGTGTGTGTGATATTTCACACAGGTACAACAGAATGCAGAGATCTCATAACTTCCAAATCCTTTGTGGTCAGTACAAATGTACAAGTTCATCTGACCCCCGAAGATTTACAGCCTCCTTTTCCTGTAAGCCACTGAATAAAGACTTTTGGGGTGAGTGCAGCCACTAAAGGCAGTCTGAATGGCAAACACACTCCTCGAACTGAGGTGGTGCAGGAGTCTGACATCACAAGCTGCTGCTAAGAGGATGTGTGGCTCCAGAGTACTCAAAACAGTCTCTTCATGTCTCAAGAGAGGATAAAGAAGAGAGGAACGATGGAAGGAACTGTAGAAAAGGTGTGGGTTTCTATAGAGCTGAAGGTATGGTTCGAGATGTTTCTACTCCCGCTTGTTTGTTTGCACGCCTCTGGAAGCTGTGTACTCCTGTTTTGGTGTATGTGAGTGTGTGTGGGTGTGTGCCCGTCACGCTGCGCTCCAGCTGCCTGCTCATTAAAGCGGTGAGGGGCTGGGCTGACGTTAACTAGATTCCCGGGCATTTACTTTGATCAGTTTGGCCCTCCCGCTTTTATAGCTGTCTCCAGGCTATGAGTTTAATGCCTCATACATTAGACCTGGACACACACACACACACACACACACACACACACACACACACACACACACACACACACACACACACACACACACACACACACACACAACACCACACACACACACACACACACCACACACACACACACACACACACACACACACACACACACACACACACACACACACACACACACACACACACACACACACACACACACACACACACACACACACACACACACACACACACACACACACACACAAACACACCACACACCCACACACACACCACACACCACACACACCACACACACACACAACACACACGTTTTCTTACGCTCTCCCTTAAAATATGCCATAAAAGAAAATTAGAACTCTACGAGTAATTTATAAAACGTGCAGACTGTTGTGAGCCACATGCATCAGTGTTGATCTTATATTGGATGCATGTTCCAGACAATCATTAGCAGATCTAAATGTACAATTACATCCGATTAAAGGCAGCCCTCCCGAGAGGGACTTATAGACTTATGTTACGTTTATTTCATGCACAGCACCATATTAGTGCCATTGTAGGTACAAAACAGGGCTGGGAAAAGGTGGTAATATTCGGATAAAACAGATTTTCTGTACGTTTAGGAGATAAAAGCGTTAAATTAACATGAAGAACTGTTTTATATTTACAAAGGACACTTTAGAACGAGGTCAATAGCCACAAAAGCAGCTGTGAGGCAGCAACACCTAATATGTTGAAAACAAAAGAAGACATTTTGTTGGATGGTTAAAAATGGACAAGCCTTACCCATAGAGAGTCAGGTTTTAACATCGTTCAATCTCAGCTATACATGATCAGACTTGTATTAGTATAAGCTTAGAATTACTTTGATCTGATTGGACCTTTAAGGTTTACATTAAGTGTTTCTAACCAAAACTAAACAAATGTATCCTCTGGGGACCGTGAGTGTCTGTACAAAAAAACCCTGGTAAAGCCCCCAGGAAGAATAGTGGCCAAAGGTGGTACTAAACCTCTGGTTCTAGTACGTGATGTCATTGGGCCCCAAAATACTTTTTCCCATTGGGTTGATGTAGAAAAAGGTAATACACGATGAAAAAAAAAGAGGGAGGCGAGAACAGGAAGGACACAACAAATGACATGTTGAGAAAAGAGGAGAGAACGCTAAAGAAATTACAGAAAGCCAATGAGGAGACTGTTTATCCTCCGAGCAGCAGAAACACTGCGCTCCATTTACCACATTAGCACCAGCTAATTACACACTACTGAATATATTAGACTAACTAATAACCAACAAACCACTTCCTGTGTGTCTTTGTGTGCAGACCTGAGGCCCTATGTAAAACTCATTAGAGGTTCGAGTTGACCACTTTATTTTAACATTTTAACAAGCCTTTTGGGGACCATTCCATACAAGTGTTTGCACCACTGGGAGCTGGAAGAGTTTGCATTGCCTGGAATCAGTGTGTGTGTGTGTGTCAAGAGAACAGGTCATTTGAGGAATATTCCATTTAAGTTCCTCCCTATAGGGCACAGCTACAGAGAGGAACTTACTGACTATGAAATGAGGCTGCAATAACGGCATGTCATGAGAAGGAGTATGTGAGTGCGGACAAATGTGTGTGTGTGTGTGTACGTACCAGAGTCCGGAGCCAGCATTCTTCACAATGGACGTGCCAGCACTGGATGGAGGTGAGCGGCATGGTGTAGGAATCCTAGGAGCAGAGCGGGGAAGGGAGGGGGGGGGGGGGGGGGTTAAGTTACACCAAATTCAGAGGACACACACATGCCGTGTAACACCAACCAAAAACGACACTGGACAATCCCTGACCGACAGCACCAGACCACTAACCATGGGACGACACAGCCAGCAGCCACAGCACCACTGAGCAAGGCAGCATGGGGGGCAACTGAACCAGCAACCTGCAGGTCTCAAACACACACACACTGATACGATCGAGGCAGGCAACGAGCACAGACGGAGGGAAGCAGGCAGAGGGAGGACAAGATGAGGGATGAACGACCCAATCAGATGGGCCCTCTTTTCTTTTCCTCTCGAAAAGAACGGAAAGATGAGGGAGGAACGGGAGGGATGGGGGAGAGGAGCGAAGGAGGGAGGGAGTGCCTTACCCTCCGTAAGGGCTGTGGGAGGAGCCTCTTTATGCCGCTGCCGTAGCCACCAATCACAAGGCCCCTGTACAGGCAGTACAAGCCGAGGGGGAGGGACTTAGGCTGCCTCTCTCCGACCCCATTGGCCAGTGGCCGGGGCCCTGGCCACACCCCTAGGCTCTTGATCTCTGCGCCTGACTGGATAGCAGGCTTCCTCTGCGGAAGGGAGGGGTGGGGGGGAGAGCTAATCATAGAGACAGGCTCGTACTGATCGCGCACTCACAAACACGACAGGTGCAACACACACGCGTGGACACACCCAACCACACACACACGTGAAGGTGTGCAGGGAGGACAGCCGATGGACAACCTGCTGAAGAACTCGCCTACTGTGTTCGACCTGACGTTGTTTTGACAAATAAAGAGATGTATCTATGCTGGTGACTTGGCTAAGTTGCTCAAAGTTGATAGTATCAAAACGTAACTACAATTGAGATGGGCAGTGTCATTCACGCTGTACCTTGATGGCAATTGATTTGTTGCGTTCAATGTCTTTTTTTATTTGGCAGGAAGTTACAAGATCTCATTGGTCAAAGAACTCCATTTCGACTAACTTCCAAAATCGACTATTGCAATGAATGTCTTTGTTATCCGCTGATACTGCTAAACAAGGCTGCTGTGTAGGTCCATGTCACGACGCTGAGATGGAAAAGCTCATCATCACATTTGAACTGTTACTAACAATTATGACATTATTGTTTCATCTGTTGATTATGTTTGGGATTAATCCATTAGCTGTTTTGTCTGTGAATTGTCTGAATATGAAAAAAAGGCCATCATTTCCTAAGGCCAAGATGACGTTTGGAAATGCCATGTTTATTCTTATCTGACCAACACTCAAAACTCAAAGTTATTTAGATGACTTTCTGTTGGAAAATCCCCAAAAATCTAAGTTTAAAGAATAATGATAGAATGTAATCATTTTCTAAATGTGCATCTTATTATCTAAAAACCATTTATACCATACAAATACATGTTTTTTTCTTAACCAGACACTACAGTTTCCCCCTCCCTAAGATGACCAGCAGATGGGGGTAGAAAGCCACTGATGAGACCGAGGGTAAACTTGAGCTGCAGCAGGAGAGCACTTGTTTTCTACTTACATGCAACCAACAGACCATTAAATCCATGTGCATGTTTGAGGTACTGACTCATAATAACTCTGCTTACATTTTGTATGCATTTACTCGGAGGTTGCCGTGGAAATGCCCAGCTTTAAATGCTTCCTGATTGACAACAAATGAAAGCAATTCTAATTACTTTCACGTCGTCCACCCTGTGACAGGTAGGGAACACAGTGACGAGTTAAAGACGGACAGAGACGGATTAGATGTAAGACACCAGTGTGTGTGTGCGTGTGAAAATGTTACACATATTTATATTCCTCTGTATGCCTGAATGTGTGTGTGTGTGTGTAAGATGAGGGACAGTGACAGATGAGCGGAGAAGAGCTGTGTGTCCATGGGGCAGTGAGTGATTGATCGCTGTGCCTTGCCCTCCGTGTCACCTCGGGCACCCGGCGACCTTTAGGAAGCGCAGGCGTCCGTAATTACCCGGATTGCACACAAACAGTCACACCAACACACACACACACACACACACACACACACTCAGGATGCCAATGCTGCACTGTCCACAAGCTTGAGGGATGACAGGATGACACAAAGTGGGGAACACAAACTATGATTGGGTGGTGGTGGGGGGAGGGGTGCAGGTGCAGTCCTATCTCAAGCATCTGATGAACATGAATATTGACATATGTCCCTCAGACTGCCTGATACTGCCCTGAGTGAACATGTGGCTAATACTATTGATCTGGAAGTCCAATCGATCATGTTGAAAAGCAAATCTTCACACTAAATCTAAAATGTGCCAGCTGGTTATTAATACATGCTTAATCACCCTGAGACTGTCCTGCACTTCCCACAGGGGTCTCTGGGGTCTCCCTGCACACATTCAGTTGACTGGCAAAGCCATGCAGGAGCAGAGACCACCACAACACAAAGTGCTCAGACACTTTAAGAGACTTGGGCATCCACAAACTGAGGGAAATGAGATGCATGCACGCATACAACACGGTGATTGATGACAACCTCAAGCCAAATACCTGCGAAACACAAAGTGGCCACAAAAGCAATACCTGAAGACTCGTTCCTATAGCAGTCCAATGTGCCATGGGTTGGGTGATACTTTAGTTTGCAGAGACTAGGGATGTCATGGGAACTGACGCTTCCTTACTAAGTACAAAAATGGCAGTACTTTTTTTCCTACAGTGCCACAGGTATTGAATACTACATTTCTGGTACCGTGACCCATAGCAGAGAGTGCAACAGTTTTGACCTAAATGCAGTCAAAAAGGGACGAACGGGCAACATTGGCGTTGTCAGCCCAATATGAAGTAATTGGCCTAATAATGAAGAATATGGAGGATCCTGATTGGTTGGTAGGAGGGCTTTGTTCATTAAGCATGAACAGAGCAAAGAGAACCATGTGGAAATGTAGCTACTTGCGCTAACACTAGCATTCCTGTAATCTGCACTTCTATAAACAAAGTCTGCTGGTTTTTGCCTCCTGACAAAAGGCACCCTCACTGACATTAAGGGAGTAAATGATATGCTCACCATGCAGATGAGACACTTGTATCGGTCTCCTCTCAGAATCTGCCTCTCCAGCTCTCTGATTCGAGCCTTCAGAGCGTCCATGGTGGTAGCCGTGGAGTCCTCCTCTGTTACCCTGAGGGAGGAAGAGAGAATGAGATGTTGAGCTTTGACATTATGTAACATATTGACAGTGTCAAATGTGAAACCTAGAACCATTGACCAAGTAGACCTTGTGTTCAACATTGAATGACTTTAAGGTAAATAGATACTTTTTCAAATGAAAAATGGGATGAACGCGTTTAATCAGTGTTGTAGTCAAGTCACCAATTCACAAGTCCAAGTCACTCTAGAGTCATCACTCTTCGAGTCCGAGTCTAAGTCACCCAAGGAGTGTCCGAGTCGAGTCCGAGTCATCATTACCTGTGTTCGAGTCCGAGTCACAAGTCTTCATGTATTAATCTTCGTGGATATATGTGTTGAAATGTAGCTGCTCCTCTACTTTGTCATGTTATACTAATCTGTCTATTGAACTGCTGTGAAGCGAGTTTGGCTACAATTCTTGTAATAGGTGCTATACAAATATAAAGCTTATTACTAATATTAATATTATTATTATTATATATAAATAAACTATATTTAAAATGAGTTACCTTTTAGAGAAGTGATTATATTTGTATGCCAATATTTTCCTATGGTAAAGTTTTCGTTTTGCACTTTTATTTTGATAGTATCGGGACTCTTATTTTGAAGGAACTTTTACCGGTTAAATCAGTTTACTGATAAAGATTTAGCCCCAGAAAGCACATGGCTACTTAGCATGCAAAATGACATCATTCTAAATGTTAAGTAGCCATATGCTTTCGTGTTATGGCTGAATCTTTATTTATTGATTATATCACCTGATGATAGTGTTCAAGACAGCCTATATGTTTGAACTCGATCCTTAGAGTAATGTGTTACGGAGCCTTCTCTTCAATATTGTTTCCACATAACGAGCATTTTGCGCTGCTCTTTTCCAATGTGGAAGCAGAATGTGTGAAAGCATACAGCACAATGCGGGGTGTGTCTCTAGACATCTTTAGATTGGAATAGCGGGGCCCAGTACGTGAACTCGCCTCGCAGGTGCACACGCCAGGATAGAGGACATCAGACTCCAGAGAAAATTAGCTTGAGTCAGAGTCCAAGTCGGAGCATCAATGTACAAGTCGAGTCCGAGTCATCGTGGGGGGAACAATTCACGAGTCAGAGTCCAAGTCGGCGTACGCGATAATTCACGAGTCCGAGTCCAAGTCATCGTGCGCGATAATTCACGAGTCCGAGTCCAAGTCATCGTGCGCGAGAATTCACGAGTCCAAGTCTGAGTCGCGTCAATCAGTGCGCGAGTCCGAGACGAGTCCCGAAAATCAGCACTCGAGTCCGAGTCCAGGACTCGAGTGCTCCATCTCTGCGTTTAATATAAAAGTAGTTTGTCGTTGCATTGTATGAAACAGACTATTCTCAGAGGTAGGTCTATTTACTTTACATTATTCATTTAAATTGTGTTGCTGTTTTGTATTTTCTAACAGGGAATAATACTCAGTTGTGCCTTGACATTAAGCCCTCTTCTTAGAAAACATATATAGATATATGTTGTGAATCGCCATTCGGCCTTCAAAATATAGAGATAGGATTTTGGTCCTTTTTTGACCCAGCGATAGTCAACATGTGTTTTCAGGGAGTTTGAAAAGTTCTATGCTAACATTGACACAGAAACAGTTAATAAGCTAAATGTAACAATGCATTAACACATTTTATCCTTTGCACTCCTCTCAAATTGACTTGTTTTGACTTTAAGTAAGGTGCCCATTCCTCTTTTTCTAATATCTCTTGTTTAACTTTCATCCTCTGGATCTCCTCTCTTTTGTTTTGCCATCTATCCTCATGTCCATTCATCCCTCTCAATTTATCTCCTTCCTTCTGTTTTTATCTCCTCTCCCCCTTTCTTCATCCCTCCTTCATTCTATCTACCGTCCTACCTTCCTCTCTCCCTGAGCAGCCTCTGATTAATGTGTAGCATGATAACAGAAAATGTGCATTTAACACTGTGCGACAGCATATGAAGCAGCCATAACTAAATCAATACGGTCGACGGCAGACCACAGCGCTGCAGCTGATGATGATTTGGCGCAGCGAGACGAGGCCGCACCGTGTTTATTATAGCCATCCGCACGATGTGCGTGTTAAAATGGGACTGTGTGTGTGTTTATGGTGATGTGGTCATTTTGCAGCCTGATAGCTAGCTGATCTATGGTATTGATCTGGATGGGGAAGGACAAGCGGAGAGAGGGCGAGAGCGGAATAGAACGATAAGTGGCTGTGTGTGTGTCCTAGGATATGGCTTCATTTGCTGCATCCTCAAACAGCAAAGGCTACAAGGAAAGGATAACAAGGATTGACTTTCTGAATGTACTATCAATCCATGCTTGCAATGCAATAGAAGTTAACATGAATAGATTTACATTGTTTTTCCGTCATTCCTATCATAAAGCTTATTGAAATGAAACATATTTGGTTTGCAAGACCATCACCAGAATTCTATAATTACTCCAGTGTTAAGCTCAGGAACTCTCTAAAAACTCTGATGGGATCGACGCACATGTATTTCTCCATCTTTTTTAAAACCTTGGAAGAAAAACTAAACATTTTAAAACAAAGTTAAGGTAAATGTAATTTATTTGTACACTTTAGTTGTTGGATCATTGGTCAAATCAAGCAATACAGTTGCACTCGGTTTTTTACACTTTCCTTTTTACTATTTTTTGATATTCATAAACGACTTAGCAAGTCAGTTTGTCTTCCTTCATGAGAAAGGTGGACCTGCTCCATCCCCTGCCTGAAGCCCACCACCGTCCTGTGTCTATAAAGGCTAAGTTGGGACTCCTAGACTGGCTGGCCGTCCCGTGCCCTATAAAATGCTTTAGCCTCTCCTCTTATTAGTCCGGAGATTGTAAAAAGCCATTTAGCCTTGATTAGCCTGCTAGCTGATAAATGGTCAGTGGACTCTGGGCTGGATGGGGGTTGTCCCTAAAAAAAGGCTGTCTGCCTTTTAACAACTCCAATAAAGCTCCCTGTCGCTCAGTCGAGGAAAAAACTCTGCCAAGGCGCTTCCCGTCTTTGTCTGAAGTGAGTTTAAGAACAAGGACAGAAAAATAAGTTTCTGCTTTTTACCCTTTCGCCTCTCTATTAGTCGTTCTGTCTCTATAATCAAAATCTGTTTAGCAAAGGTGATTTTTGGAAAGTCGTTTAACTTCCTAATTTGATATGTTCATTTCATTTGAAGTGGCCCATTTCAACTGGGGGACAAGGAGGTGGAGGGGGGGGGGGGGGGGGGGGGGGGGGGGGGGTTGAGGAGATGCAAAGATTGAATGGAGGCAAAAAGGAGAACAGGATGATTTCACAGGGCCAGGGAAAGGAAAGACAACTCTCCTGGGCTACACAGAGAGATAAACTGCCTCTCCACCAGCAAAAGTACAAGTACAAAATCCTTGAGTTTAAGCTCTTTATGCTGCGTCACTGATTTAAGCTGGCTCAGGGGTTTTCAAGCTTTTCAGTTTAGGAGCCAAAAATACTGAAATTGATGTCACTGGGACTCTGGCTTAGCAAAGATGTCAGGTGGACTCGCAGAAACACTTCAGATTGGGTAACAACCTAAAGTGTAAGGGTGTTACAGCAAGTTTCCATGAGTGTGTGTCCCAGGGGGAGACTCACGTTATTTACGCTACTTTAAAACATATTCACATCATATGGTTATAAACCTGATTTGCGAGCTTGTATGATTGCAGGTATTGGTGGCGATACAACAATACTAATGATACTATTTGGCTATTGCATGAGTAAGCTGTTGATAACAGTTCTTAAAAAGAAAGAGCCTTAGAATCTGCTCAAAATCTAAATCAGGAAGTTAAATGGAATTGGGTTTTACATTATAAATAAAGTCCTGGACTCTATGTTGAATACAATAGCTGTACAGGAACACCATATCTAACATTTATAAATCGTTGTATGGATATTAAGCTGTGTACTGCACATCTGTTTGGGCAGAGTGTTTGTGGGCACAGTGGGACAAAGCTCCGTCTCGGTACGTTTCGACTGAAGCCGTGGCCTTCATTTGAAAGCCTGGCGTCATAAAACTTAAAGATCCAACACTGAAATAAAACTTCCATTCACGCAACATGCTGCTACTCCAGCTCAGTTAGTGGCCCACCGGGCTATTTTGGACGGTGTGTGGGTGTGTGAGTGAAAGAAAGTGAAATTGCCGTGCATTTCCATCTCCACTCAGCCCTATGGCGACAAGCAGGCAGGAGCGCCTGACAGAGACAGATAGATGGCTGCGCCTCCCCTCTATTTAGCGCTCCATCCCCAACGTGTGTGGGGCTATTTCTCATGTCATTAGTGTGTGTGTGTGTGTGTGTGTAGCTGAAGACCCTCCACCATCCATCTCAATCAGCCCCGTGTCTTAATCTACTGTCTACCTACATTGTGGCCTCACTCGGCCTCTCTCAACGCGAGCACACAGCAAATTATAAAATTAACAATTCTCAAAAAAAACACAATATTCTAGGAAACATTTGATCCACCTGGTAGGGAAATAAATCTCTGTCAGGCAGGTGCTGTGAAAATAGCAGCGGTAAATCCCTTTAGAGCATCATTGTCTGCTGCACCCTGTTAACCGAGGCCTTAACTACACTGACACACCATGATAAAACATTTAAGTCACTATTGATTTCCTTTGCCCCAGCCCGATGTGTGTGTTTCTGTGTGTGTAGGTCTCAGGGGGCAAAAGGGTAGGGGGGGTGTTTTGTAAGTGCCCGAGAAAAATTGAGACAGAGGACGAGAAGAGAAGAGCAATGGGAAAGAGAAAAAGAAGGCAGAAAGAGAGAGAAATGTGGCTTAGCAACATCAATAAAGGAGAAGAAGGCAGCCAGAGCTACTGGGCAGTGTGTGTGTGGGGGGGAAATCTAGCTTCATCACTTCCAAATTGAGGACAGATTCAATTATTTGCAGAAACCACATGGAAATCTCTCCGCATTGTTCCAGCTGGAGCACCAAATTTGGCAGCAATCGCATTGGCGGCATTGGAGGGGCCATTTATCT